TATCATCTTTTATATATACAATGTTATCATTTCGAAATTATAAACATTTAATATCGAAAAGATTGATTTCAATTTTTTTTTTAAATTTTCTATTAAACAAGTGATAATAGTTATCATTGATAAATCCTGATGAAAACAATTAAATGATAACAATTATCCGTAAAAAGTATGACAATCATCATTGGTCTGTATGGAATGTCGAAGTGAGAGATTATTCTTCCGTGCTTCACCATTTGGTGACATGTCATTTCGTTGTTCCGTTGATGATGGAATGATATCGGTTGTCACATTATGATGCGTTAAACGTGATGCTGCAGGTGCCGGCAGTAAACTAAATTCAAAAAAAAAAATAGAAAAAAAAGAATGGATCTTGGTCTTTGCAATATAATTAACTATAAAGTAATTAAAGTAAAGGAAAAAAATTAATTAATTTATTTAAGTAAAATGATTAATTAGGAATATTTAAAATGTTAATTTGAAAAAAAAAAGAAGGCATTAAATTACATACTGAGGATCAGCTTTGGTAATTGGTCGTGGATTTCGAAATGGTTTTCGTTGATATTCCATTCCAAATTTTGCACGACGACGACGTTTGCTACGCTTTTTATCAAATTTTTTCTTAAATATATAACCAAAAAAACCGCAAATTAATAAAAATATGCAACCGGAAAATATTGCCACAAAAAGGACTGTTCGTACATCAGCTACATTCTCCAATTTATTACCTGATTAAAGTAAATGAAAAAAAATTATTTCGTAATTAATTTTTTTTTCAAATTATTTTGAAGAAAAATTAAAATAAATAAATTTGGAAATTTTATGATAATTTTAAAGAACATTTTGATACCGTTTTTAAAGCTTTTTGCTTTAAATTTTGATTAATTAAGTTTTCTTTGAAAGGTTTTTAGTAATTAATTTTTAAAAATTTATGTTACAACGAAAATATATGCGTATGTATAGTTTGTAAATATTATTTACTATTAATAATAATTATAATAGTGATAGCAACAGTAAGAATAATGATAATAATAGTAATAATAATAATAGTAATAATGATAATAGTAAATAATAATAATAATAATAATGATAATAATAATAATAATAATAATAATAAAATAATAATAATAATAATAATAATAATAATAATAATAATAATAATAATAATAATAATAATAATAATAATAATAATAATAATAATAATAATAATAATAAAATAATAATAATAATAATAATAATAATAAT